CGGGGGCGGCCCCCCTCCGGCAGCGGCCCCAGCCACATGGGTTCCCTCCACGTGTCACTCAGGGCCGCGCGAGAGACTCTGCGTGCTACCTTGCCCCCAGGCCAATCATTGAAGCAGGGGGCGGGGCCTGGGAGTGAGGGAGCGCGTGAACTCTCTCGCCCCCTGCCAGGGTCACGCGGCACCTAACGCGAACCACCAGCTGTTTTGAACAGCTGGCGGCTCCATCTACGCCCACACGCTCCTGGTGTGGGGAGAGACTCTGTAAGCTCCCCTGACCCCTGGCCAATCGGGGCCTGGAGACGGGGCAGGGACACACAGTCTCTCACCCCCCGCCTCCCTCCAGGGCAGGCCTTGATCAAGTGGCTATGCCCACCCCTGCCTAGGAGAACAACAAATACATTTCTATCTTTGAATCTTTCTAAATCCTTGGCCTCAGCTAAATCTAGTGCCAGTGAGTTCCACTGTCTCATGTTGTATGTTTCAGCCCCCATTGCTCCCGGTCTGGGTCACATCCTCCAGGCTCGAGGGACTCCTAGTCCCTGGGCAAAGGGCAGCCGGGGTACCGGAGGGTGGTTCTGAGAGACGAGGCAGTAAATATGTTTTTCCTGTTGGCTACATTGTTCTCCCTTCCTATTGTGGGGAGAGGAGGGGGTGCCTCTCACAACGTCATTGGCCTGACGGAGAACAAAGGCCACACACCTCAGGTGCCTGCTTCCCAGATTTTTAAGTGGCATGTGGGGGCGACTGGCCCTGAGCACGTGAACATCCAGCCCTAGGCTCTTCCCCAGGGCCCTTGGCAAGATCCAGGTTAGGAATTCGGTGCCGCAGAAATAACATGGGTTTGAGGTGAAGGAGGAGGGAGGATCGCCTGTGCTTTGAGTGAGTCATTGACAGGACCGTAGGAGCGGCCAGGCTGGGCCAGACCAAAGGTCCATCTAGCCCAGTGTCCTGCCTGCCACCAGCAGTCAGTGCCAGGTGCCCCAGAAGGAATGAACAGAACAATCCAGGTTAGGAATTCGGTGCCGCAGAAATAACATGGGTTTGAGGTGAAGGAGGAGGGAGGATCGCCTGTGCTTTGAGTGAGTCATTGACAGGACCGTAGGAGCGGCCAGGCTGGGCCAGACCAAAGGTCCATCTAGCCCAGTGTCCTGCCTGCCACCAGCAGTCAGTGCCAGGTGCCCCAGAAGGAATGAACAGAACAGGGAACCATCGAGAGATCCACCCCCTGTCACCTATTCCCAGCCTCTAACAAACAGTCTAAGGACGCCCTTCCTACCCATCCTGGCTAACAGCCATCGGTGGACCTGTCCTCCATCATGGGTTTGCTTGCTTCCTTGCACGAAGTTAGACCTGAGTTCAATTCTTTTCTCACACCCAGACTGGGAAAATCATGTTGTCACTCCGTGCCTCGGTTTCCCTATCAGCACACCAGCAGGTCATTGAGCTGTGCTTCTCCAGGCTGCTGTGAGGCTAAATGCAGCCTGTGGGTACTAAGGGACTAGCACTAACCTTGTGTACACAAAGGGGGCGGGGGCGTGGTGCAAAGTTTGTCTCTGACAAGAAAAGTCCTTGACAAGTCAGAAAAGCCCAGCAGCGAGTCTGACCTCCAGGCTACACTCCTTTCTGGCTTGGTTTAGGCTTTGCACAATGGTAACCCGATGTCAAACCTGACCGGCCACCCCCGCGGGCGCTGACCAAGTGGGTTCGATCCTGCGGCTGTGTTAAAGTGCAGCTCACTGCGGTGGCCGGCCTCGAGGGGGGCTGAGCATAGATTCAAATCTACGCGCTCGACCTGTGTCTAGCTTCCCAGGCCTTGTGTCTCCTCAGGAAGACACCCCCAGAGCTCTGCTCCTGCTCGGTGCATCTTCCCATTGGCTGCTGCTGGGCCAGGCCTGACATGTGCTCAGCCTTCAATATGGCGCCAGGGCTTCGGCGCAGCTCCACCGCCAAACAGTGCTGGGAAGCCCCAACCTCCTCCTGTGGGTTGCAGGGCTTGGGCAGGAGGCTGCAGAGCAAATGAAGCCTTGGGAAGGATCGGAAGGCTCCCTGGCTTGGCTCCCAGTGGAGGCGGGAGAGGGTGTTGCTTGGCTGGCTTCGTTCCCCGCCGCTCTTGGTGAAAGTCGCTGATAAATTATTGAGTTTTTCAATTATTCCCTGGCCTGCAGGGGGGCAGAGGAGGCAGCACTCGACCTGCTCGGCGCGCTGGATGGGATTGGATGTCACGCTCAGCCCAGGCAAACGGGGGGTGCGATTCGGACCACCCAGGCTCTCCTGCCTCCCCACGCTTGGCCCATCGCTGGCCTGACAGGTCTAGTCTCTGCGGCATTAGGGCCGCAACATGAACCAGCAGCAGGGAATGAAACGCTGGGGGTGGCCGGTTTGTGGCAGAGGCCAGGGCTGGGTTTCCAGCTGGCTTGGAGAGCCCCTCCATAGATCGGTGGGGGCCCGACCTGGG